TCAGATTAAAAAAGTAACCCAAAATCCACATTTTTCCATGATTAAAATGAAACACCACTAATATATACAGTTTCATTTTAATCAGGGACAAATGTGGATTTGGGGTTATTATTTTATATCCAAAAAGTTGGGATTTTTTTAAATCGGAGAAAACCAGGATCCCTGGTGATGCGTTTAAGCTGGCCATGGCTGAAGACATTGGTATAGGAGGAATGCATCAGCTTTCCCCTCCTTCCAAAGGACACTAGTGGTAACGCATAAGTTGCAATTTATATGTCTGCACTGGGGGTAAGGAAAATAGTATGGAGAAAACGAAGTAGAATGGTGAGTCAGTTCAGAATTGGAAGGTGGTAGAATTGGAAGGTGCTGGCTGGCTACACTTGATACACTTTATGATGGGTTGCTATTTCCCAAGAAGTAGGCATATGTAAAAGAACAGACAATTAGGTAGCAATTTCCCTATCTCTATTCTTTGTAGATCTATAAAAAAAATCTGAATCCTTAGTCAACAAGGTTGGGAGTTATGAGAGAGGGAAGAAAGGACAGGGTTTAGGTGAACCGAAAGTTGAGCAGAATGAGCAGCCACATTTATTGAGAATGGCAGTGAGGGGTGTGTGCATGATGAAAAATGGGTGTGTAAAGGGGAATGAATTGGGGTAGTTGCAGAGTGAGTTGTGCCTGGGGGTTAAGTGAATCTGAGCATGTTTGTGAGTGGAAAGACTGGATGTGGAATGAAAGTGGGTGTGGATGAGGGTGTGTGAAATAAATGACAGTTGAGACATATATATTAAAAATATGGAGTGGATGCCAGCGAGAGAGACAGTAAGTTGATGCAAATTCATGTAAATAGATGAATGTTTATATTAATGCACCACACCTTTTCCTATCTGCAAAAGTTAGCATGTATGCAGATTTGCCAATCCATATGTTTTAGATATGGTATGGTCTGTACTGCAAACCAAACCCAGAGCAGACTTAAATGTTCCATATTGCACAGAACACTCAGGTTTGGTTGTACCTGCTGATCTATCAACTGCGGAGAAACTCTGTAGTGCATTGGGTCTCTTATTCCTCTGTTTTCCTCCTTTTTTCCTGATAAGGAACAGAGAAGCTCACTGTGCAGGAGTGGACAGCAAAGGCCATGTTTCTCCTCCAGGAAAAGGTGGAAGAGCACAATGTTCAGCAACCAAGAGCTTACTATGCCAGTTTCTCCCCTCCTATTAAAATTATAGGCTCTGCCTAATCCTACTCTTCTCCTCTTTTGTCTTGCTCCTCAAAAGGCCTGGAAAAAAATTATACCATTTTAAATTGGTAGGTTACTGCAGTTCATCTGAACGTGCAGAAATGGTTGCATCTCTCTGCTTCTTTCCTACAGCAAGCAGAAGTTAAACCCCGTGAAAGAAACACTACTAAGTCAAGGGAGAGGAGACATATGAGATTGAACTTAACTGCCATGAGGGAAAGTTAAGTTCAAGTATGTATGCCTATAAATATTTGTGTAAAGTGGAACAGCCTTAGCAGGAGAAACTTAATCCAGAATACCTTATAGTCTGGTGGTTTAGAGACTTTCCTAGGAGTTGAGAGTCTCTACTCCAAATATGCAGGCAGGAAACAGATCCTTTGGCTGTATATTCAGATGACTGGTATACTGTGTATGATGGGTTACTGGATACACTCGTTTTTTAGGAGAAATGCTTTATTTGGTTTAGGCCCCCAACTCCAGATGAGTTAGGGGCCTAACTGCTAAGAACCACTGGCAATTGTTCACTACTTAGAACCATTAATGAGTGACAGGTCCAAAGTCCCTCTCCTTTCTCAGTGTCTCCTGCTATCTTAAGCAGCTCCCTGTTTTGCCAGGTTCTGCATATCCTATTTTTGGCACCTTTAGCAAACAGCTATTCCCCAACGGATGTGGACACACAGTACCTTAGCCAGCATAACTTACATTGGCAAAGTTCAGTCTTGCTTTCAGGGGTAATTGTCCACAAGAAAGGGAGAAGTTACCCTAGGCTAGGGGGTTTGGCTCATCCATTCTTTCCATTCATAGATTTCATTTAATGGATTTCAGAAACTGGTACAATGTAATTTACCCTGATGAAAACCCTTTTTCTGAGCCTTAGGTCATTTTTTGGATCTAACCCTAAATGGCTCCCACAAGAAATCTATCATGAAGCAAGGAACTATACCCAAGCCAGGCTTTGAGCAGCTGGGACATGCTTCCTTTTACATCCTCCACAATGACTGTCTCTCCTTTTCCAGAAATGATCCCAGAACCTTCAGGCTCACCCTTAATCCCATTTTGATGCCTGCCTTGTTGCTGGTAGGATGGTTAAGGAAGAACAAGGGTGTGCTAGACAGGCAAAGAGAGGGAGATGAGTGGATGATGCAGAGGCGTGGGAAGGTCTAACATGCAACCAGCTCATTCTGCATCCGGGTTTATTATTGCAAAGGAGACAAGGAAGGTGGATGGGGAGACCTGGGCTATTGCACTCAACTGCAGTGCAGGAAGATTACATTCAAGTGTGTATACCAATGAAGATTTATTTGTGTGAAACAAAGCAGTCCCAACAGGAGAGACTGGTAGAGAGAAACAGTTTTTTAAGCCAGATAATGAAATGGTCAAAAACTTTGTTGAAGCAGAAGTAAGGTTGCTTAATGGTGATTTGCATGCTCGAAGAACATCTAGCTCTGCTAAACCTAAATCTGAAAGACAAAGCTGCTGTAGACATGCATACAACGCTGACTTTGCCCTCTTCACATGATTATCTCAACACCTACCTTACTGCTAAGATTCCTGGTGACAAGAAGGCCCATTGGCTGCTATGGCACACAGCACACATGCACCACATCCCTCAAAGCACACGGTCACCTCTTTCCTTCATTACATTTTGGGGTAGGGAAGGAAGGCAGCATTGCAGATCTCCTAGAAAGGTATCCAGGTTGTGAATTTTCATTTCTATCTAGGAAAACTTTTACAATCTTTTCTCCAATGACTGATGAAGGGTGTTTGTGCCCCAAAGCTTGCAATTAAAGAATTTTGTTTTTGCAGAAATCTTGTTTGTCTAATAAAAGATATCATCTCTATTACAAGCCCTGGCTGCAGTCTCCTAGAAAGGCGCTCCCCCAACTTCTTCAGTTTACAATCACATCTCTGGGTGCATCTACATGTCGCCATACGGCGATGTTGCTACAGTGCTGTGCTTTAGTATTTCCTTTTGGTAACTGCCAGTATTGTGCTGTGCTCATGGTTAGATTTTGCCACTATGTCACCGTAGCAGCACGCTAAAAGTGGGGGGAGGATGCTGCTACAGCGCTGTAGCTGCCTCGCACGTATAGACTCATGCGATCGCTATGTGGCAGTAGCACACCATATGGCGACAGCAGGGTGTGCCCTCTGTCATCTAATTGTTCTGCCATTTGTTGCAGCTGCATTCACAACTAACCTGGAGAGGGTGCTGGAGTGCCTGCAGATAATCCCCAGTAGCTACTGGGGAGTGGAGGGAAGAGGGCAGAGTTAAGGTTGTGTTGATATACATTTCAACTTGGTGTTTTCTGATTTTGGGGTTTCTGGAGCTGCGGGACCTGTGGGCGTACAACGGGAGTCTTGTCCACTCCTTTCTTCATGGTCAAAAGTGTGAGTTTGGCTAAATTCCTCATTTTGGAAAGGTACAAAGCACCACTGAATTACCTTAACTCTGCAGTAACTGAGTTTTTGGGGGTGGGCATTTATCGACAGAACGGTTAGGCCTCTGCACTGTGGTCCCAGCAGCCTCCGCTCAAGCCAGTCACCATGGCTCTTTGCTCTGCAAGACGGTCTGGCCTGGCAGGGCTGGGCCCGAGACCCTTTTCCAAGGCGGAGCAAGTCTGCGGTTAAATTCTGCTGCCTCCCCTTGACAGCAGCTGCTCCCTAGCCTGATGCCTCAGTCCCTAGATCCTCTTTGGAGCACTTGGTTTCTGCTGGTGCAGGGTTGGGTTTTGCCATTACAGCTCGCTAAAATGGGGGTGGAGGGGTGCTTCTACAGGGATGTATGGCACATGGGGGATAATTCTGCCTTCAGGCAGGGGTGGGTTGGGGCCAGGGGATGGCTGGAGACACCTCCCAGCCCTCCTCCTCCCCTGTGGCAGCAGCAGGGAGGTCCTGCTCCACAACAAAACAGCCCAGGCCCCTTCCCCCCCACCGAAGCCTATACAGGAAACACAGCCAGGACCCCCCCCCCCCTTCTCCCAGCCGAGTCAGCTCATCAGCTGGTGGGAAGCGGGGAGAGCTCAGTCTCCTCCCGGCTTTGCACCGAAATGCCTGGCCCTTGAGGGAGGGAGTGAGGGGCAGGATTCAGCCCCAGCCGCTCACGAGAGGAGAGGAGAGGAGAGGGGCTCAGGCTCAGCCCCTGGCAGGGGCGGGCTGGAGGCGGCGGGAGGAGCCGGGACGTGTCCGGCCGAGGCGGAGGCTGAGGGAAGGGGCCGGGGCAGCGGCAGGGGAGGAGGCGTCTGAGGGAGGGAGGGAGGAAGATGGCCGGGGCAGGCGCCGCCGGGGTGCAGCGGGGGGAGCCGGCGGCGCCGTGAGCAGGCGGAGGCGGAGGATGGTCCGGAGCCCGGCGCGG